CCAGTTTCCTCGAGATTGAGAAACGGCCAATATATACACACAAGGTAAGGGGCACAGGTGGAAACAATCAGGGCGGGGTAAACAATCACAAACACATGAGACACATAGGGGCGGGGAGCACAGTGACCTGAAACGAGAGGGACAATTAATTTTCAAAATAAAACAGGGAAGACACAAGACAAAGGGACATGTCAAGAGCTAATTTAAAGAATAAACCTTAACCATGATCTTTCGAGACATGACACCCCTGGGATTAAAACATTATTTTAATTGATTGATTGATCATTCTTAAGGTGTTCATAACAAATATAATCACATTTTTGATACTGAGACTATTAATGGTTGTTATTCTTTCAAAAAATATCCCAAAAAGTTACCAAGTCGGTCAAACTAAGTGAGTTTGGGCTTGTTAAATAACATCTTGGGGATTATTTCTATAGTGCAGTTGTGTATTTGGGTTTGCTAATCTTAAAGACCCATCTCCTGTGATCACTTCAGTGTGAAGAGTTATTTCATTCTTGTTGTTTTCACCCTGATCTACAATTGTTCTCCTGCAGCTTCTGACTCTTTAATTCCCTGGAAACAGTTCCAATGAATGTGGGGGGTATGAAAATGTATTTCACGATCATTGCATTGAGGTTGTGGCAGATATGTTAAAGATCAGTGAGTCATGTATTTTCACAGCTGTTGGAATCTGTCAGGCTCAGTTGACATGTTGACGACTCTATTTTATTCTGCATGAATCAGAAACAGCATGCATGACGTGTTTTAAGAACGGTTGAGATGTCATTACAAAGCAAAGCATTGCTCCATAAACTGTTTCATCTTCCTGGTGCTGATTGCTTGAAATGTCTCGTAAACATCTTTGCTGTAACCAATGTGTAAACTTCAGAGGTTGGAAGTAATGGAGTACAAATACTTCGTTACTGTACTTAAGTACATTTTTCTGGTATCAGTACTTTACTCCACTACTTATTTTTCTGACAACTTTTTACTTTTACTTCTTACATTTTGAACCCAAATACCTGTACTTTCTACTTCTTACATTTTGAACCCAAATACCTGTACTTTCTACTTCTTACATTTTGAACCCAAATACCTGTACTTTCTACTTCTTACTTTCATGTCCATTAGACACAAGTTGTACTTCTTCGATCTTTCTTCCATAAACACAAGTTGTACATTCTTACATCTTCATGTCCATAAACTCAAGTTTTACATTCTTCATCCTTCATGTCCATAAAACAAGTTTACAATCTTCATCCTTCATGCCATAAACTCAAGTTGTACATCTTCATCTTTCAAGTCCATAAACTCAAGGTTTAGATTTCTTCATCCGTTCAATGTCCATAAACTTAAGTTGTACATTCTTCATCTGCAGAGTCCATATTACACAAGTTTACAATCTTCTATGCCTTCATGTCCATAAACTTNGAAAAGGATTTCAGCGCACCATGTTGAAGGACATCTCATTTCTCTAAATGCACATCGAGGATCGATAGGTTATAGCTCCTCCAGAGAGCCTCCTCGATGCTCGATCCTCGATGTGCATTTAGAGAAATGAGATGTCCTTCAACATGGTGCGCTGAAATCCTTTTCCGGGTCACTACCGGAAGACCGAGGAGTCGAGGAGGGGAAATTAGAGAATTGAGAAACTTCAGTGTCAGTCAGTGCTGAGGATTTCGGTCCAAACCGTCAAACTAGACAGCGCTGATCAAATCACAATTCTCTTTCCTGTCTCTTGTCTCACATGTTTTTAAAACCTAACTGCTAGGTTTGACAGCTTGATCAGAAATGACAGGACCTCTTGCACTTAAGAAAAAACAAAAAAATGTCTATATCAACCATCTATCTGATAACACTTGAGTGCAGCATCATCACCTGACCCTGTCTCTTCGCCGCAGTTGTTTTTATTCTCTGATAAAGCCAATGTTCACACCCGGCTCAGCAGCAAACCGACTGTTAGAGATAAACAATGGCTTGTTATTGTTATGAACCTATTTTCTTTATTTTAATTAGATCTGGAGTGGCTGGCACTTCATCAACAGTTTGTTCTCGTGTGTACATATTTACCATGACAGTTTTATTTCCTATCACAAAATTGATAAACAATATTGCAAACATTCACATTCTCTGAGCCGCTGATACTTGAACCTCCGCTCCAGAGCAATATGTTTCCTGCTCCTGATGTACAACACTCTCATATTGAGGCTGTTGAATCACATATCTGTCATAGCTGGCATGTTGTTTTATCATGCTTGGGTATGAACATCATGTGAAGTAAGAGGCTTTGTTTTTTCCTGAAAATATTACAATATATCTGATCCCTGGCTTTTATACCTCTGAAATAGAGACTCACTGTTTTAGTTTTAATCCTTATTTTGATGTGAATAAATGTATATTTTTTCAAACATTCAGGTCGAAACATTTCTACTTTAGAGTTTTCAGATGTACCCCACTATTCGATGTAATAAACATGAAAGACGTAGAAATAACCCCTGATTGACCTTCTCCCCCCCTCAGAGCTGCTGGACCTGCAGCCTCTCCCGGTGACGGCTCTGGGTAACCCGGAGTTTGAGAGCCTGTTCAAGTTCACTCACTTCAACCCCATCCAGACGCAGATCTTCCACACGCTGTACCACACCGACACCAACGTCCTGCTGGGGGCGCCAACGGGCTCCGGGAAGACCATCGCCGCAGAGATGGCCATGTTCAGGGTCTTCAGCCAGTATCCCGGCGCTAAGGTCTGACCGGCTCTGTGTGCTTCATGGTTACATTAAAGGGCCTTTCCTGTGAGGGAGGGGGGACTTGTTGCTGTCTTTCTTTTATGTTGAGCATTGAAACTCTTTACATAAGAACTGAGAAGTGCATCACACAAGACTAAAATCTATTAAATCCCTAACAAAATTGTGTAAACTAAATATGAAGACAATTTCCTATCTCCATGGAGATCCACAGGCTGTGGAGCACTATAGGTTATCATGATCGGTTGTGTCCTGTTAGGAATATACATTGCAAATGATCAGTGTTTTTATGTAGTGAGTGTATGCTACTGTCTGTAACATACAGTGATGAGGACATTCATTTTTTACATACACCTCCTACATACCTCATGGATGTGCATTGCTCCAGAAGCTAAACAGGGACACGCTTTTTGGCTCAATAGTCTTACTTGAGATCAAAAAACAATAGCAGTTTTAACAACTACTCTGTGCAGTGATTGCATTTATATTTGTTCACACAGAAAATAACTGTTTGTGTATTTGGCCAACCTAGGAGTTGTATCTGACGTGGATTTTCCTGACCTCGATATTAACACGTTCTTTATTGTTTGCATTCATTAGAAAACCTTTCAAAAAGCACAGGTTGGTGTCATGTTAAGGCGGCACTTCGTTCACTGTTGCCTCCACAGGGAGTGCTGCTTGGAGATGCTCCAACATGCAAATGTGTTGTTGGTATTGTTGTTTTTTATATTCCTCCAACCAGAGAAAACCTACCTGTGTTTCCATTGAATGACTGTTTATTATCTCTGTGTGGTCAGGTGGTGTACATCGCCCCCATGAAGGCCCTGGTGAGAGAGAGGATCGAGGACTGGAAGGTCAGGATTGAGGAGCAACTGGGGAAGAAGTGAGTGATGTTTTTTTTGTATTTTATTATATAATAACATGTCATTGCCATTTCTACACTGTAGCTTATGTGCATATGACATTAAAACCTTTGAATCTTGAATTGAATCTTGAATTAATGCATTTACGTAGTCATGAGGATTTTACATTGCAGCTGCATGAACTGACATCGTACAGCTTGAAAAGTCTTGTGTGTAGATTGCATTGTTGGATACAACGGAATAAATCACTTGGTAATGTAATAATGAGAGAAAAGAGCAGGCTCATGTGTTTCCTGATCTTATGTCTGTGTAGAGTGGTGGAGCTGACAGGGGACGTGACCCCCGACATGAGAGCTATATCACAGGCTGACCTCATCGTCACCACTCCGGAGAAATGGGATGGAGTGAGCAGGAGCTGGCAGAACAGAAGCTATGTTCAGAAAGTAGCCATCCTCATCATCGATGAGATCCACCTGCTGGGTAAGAGGGAGGAGGAATCTGTTCTGTAGGTCAAACCGCTTGAAGGGAGCTCTTTGGAAGGTTAGAACTTATGGCCTTCATTTAGCCCAATTCTTTCATTTTGTTAATGGAATGTTTAATTGGGCCTTCAGTAAACGGATACAGCTAATTGGAATTAGTTTTATTTCATCATATTATTTATTTTATTTTGTGGTAAATACTTAATAATATTAAGTTGTTTAACTGCGAAGGTGAATATGTATTATATATTTATAATAGATAACATTTAATATAATATATAAAAAAATATATTAATTATAATAAAATATAAACAATTATAATTATATATATATTTATAAAACGGACAAGTCAAATCAAGCAATCTGATTGGTTCTTAGCCGTGATATACTGAGCGTATACCACGGGTAGAATTGTAAGTTACTTTTCACAACAAGTCAGTATCCCTCCGCGTCTGAGAAAAAGTATACAGTTGGGCTGAAAAGCAAACTGCAGTTTGCTTTTCATACTGGAACAAGAAAGCAGCGGAGAAGTAACGGGGCAGAAGCCCTCCTTTTTGACGCAGCGGTCCAGACATAGACATCAAACGGCAAAACATATTCAGTGTGCAGTTCCTTTGGCATTAGGGCAGGGATATCTAGATACTTTCGAAGGTTTAACATAATGAATTGTGATACTTTTAAAGCAAGCAACGATGTTTTCAAATCTGTAATCAAAGAGGTCCGCAAAAACGCTATCGACCAATCAGATTGCTTGATTTGACTTGTCCGTTTTATAAATATATATTTCTTCCGTTACGAAACAAACGTACAAAGCATAAAATGGAAACATTTAAGATTAACTTCGACCTCCGGGGGGGTCTTACTATGGAGGAGTGGATTGAGCAGTGCCTATCTCCAGAAAAAAAAGCACCTAAACTACGACATGCAGAGCTACGTGAAGAGCAGGTAGACCAACTGGAAAAGTACCACCATTCAAAAGCTTTCTGATGCGGGTCTTGAAACAAAGCAGAGAAATTATGACCGTTAGTGGCCACAGGTGCGAAAGCTCTCTCCAGAGCTACTGGAAGCCCAATCTCGGGGACCGGAGAAAGTGGAGCAATATTCTCGCCACGCCAAGCAACAGCCTCGAACAACCGCAACCTATACAAGTGACCACGTAAGCCATGCTACTGATACTGGACTGTTTTTCAGTGGATGCACAATAAACAGCAACATACACATTAATGTAAATAAACAGCCAAATAATGGATCAACGCTCTCTGTCTAATATGTTCGCTTGCTGTTAGTGTTGTTGCATAGCAACCACCTTTTGTGCAGAAGGCAACGGAGGGACTATTTTATTTTGAACATCATTATTTACTAATACAAACTATTTAAATTGGAGTGTGTATTTTTCTTACACACGCGTCGGGCCGAACCACGCCCCTTATCTGTGATATAATGAGCATATACCACGGCCTGTCGTGAGCTATTGCTTAAATATACCTTATATAGAATTATATATTATTATATGAGATAATATTTGAATTATATTACATTTTAAAATGAAATATAATGTATATTTTAAAAAAAATCTTGTATTGCCATTTACTGTACCCTTACTAAAAGTATTTACAGAAAACATAAGTAATACTTCAACATAAGTAAGAAAAACATTTAACCTAACCTGTCTTTGGGCTGTGTGAGGAAGCTGGAGGAAACAAACTGCACACAGAGAAACCCAGAACTAACCACTGCAACTATTATGCCTGAGTTAGCAGTGTTTAAACAACATATTTCCAGAAGGCGTCCAGACCAAAAAACCCCTTCCAGTGTAAGGGACGGTACCAACACGTCTTTAATGTACACTCTGACTTTACCATTGTGTGTGTTTGCAGGGGAGGACAGAGGTCCAGTGTTGGAGGTGATTGTGTCCAGGACCAACTTCATCTCCTCTCACACGTCTAAGAGAGTCCGAGTGGTGGGTCTGTCCACGGCTCTGGCCAACGCTCGAGACCTGGCCGACTGGCTGGGCATCGGACAGGTCAGACACACACACAATCACACACACACAATCACACACACGCACACATTTATCTTTGGTTAGATGGAAGGATCATGTTCATAAGCTGAGGAATAGTGAGATGGCTTTGTACTGGCCAACAGAAACCACATTGTGTGTGCAGCGCTGTATTGTTATGGTCCATTTGTTTCCTGCCTCTTCATATCTGAGTGACTTTATATAATAACAGCAATTAGGATAAAAATATGCTTTTGGTTGATAGTTGATCTCTATAATCTCCTGCAGGCTGCGTCTGATGACATGCTTAAGTTCTAATCATCAGGAATGACTGGATGAACATCAACATGATTCAAAGAAGACTTATTGAAAGGATGACACTGATATGATTCCATACTGAGGTTTCCCATGCTGCTTCTTCTTGGGTTATGTTTGCACCCTTTATCTTTGCTTTGGCTAGTATCTTTAGGGTTCTTCCACCTTTTCCAATGTCAAATTCAAGGACTTTTCAAGTATTTTCAAGGTGCATTTTCAAGCTTTTCAAGCATCTTACAGCTGTTGTAAATTACATATTTATATACACATACTTATACTCAAATGATTATTTCCCTACCTCACATTAACTCAGATGTTCTTTATGCTATAAACAGGGCTACACATAACTGGTGCGCATGCTCACCTCCGCCAAAAAAAGAGCACCGGGTCATTGAGAGAGAGAGAGAGAGAGAGAGAGAGAGAGAGAGAGAGAGAGAGAGAGAGAGAGAGAGGCTGTGTCCCAATTCAGCGGCCGCATCCTCCTGAGGATGCATTCGGAGACCGCATACGTCACTTGCGCCAAACGAAGGCTGTCCCAATTAAAAAAAAAGACAAGACTCCTCCGAATGCGGACCGCAAATGCAGCCTTCTTTCCCGATTACGAGATACACTCTGATGTCCCTCCCAGGGTACCATATCCAGGGTGCAACGTGGGTGACGGTGACGATGATTTAAAAAAATATATATGGCTTGTAACGTCCCATCAACGCTACACGTCAGCTGGATTCGTTTTAAAATTACTTACCCATAATATAACAACATGAAAGATCAAGTTAAACATATTTAAATTTGATCGTATTTAAATATCCGGCAATTGGAGATGTCTTCTTTATATCACAAATATTCTTAACCCTGTTGGTTTCATTATTGTGGGATCATTTATAAGCTATTTATTTATTTTAACGTGCTTTGCATACAAATCTTCTGCAACAATTTTTTTAAGGAGCCAAGGAGTCAGACTGCGCATAATTGTATCTTAGGGAGCGCGGGGAGAGAATGAAGCCTCTGCACGGGGGCCTGTGCGACCTCGGGATAAAAATTAATATTTATGAATATAAAACAATTTTAACTTTTATATAACACCAAATAGATTATAATCTCTAGATCCTGACCCATATTGAAAGTTTTGAAACAGTTTTGAAACCGTTTGACAAACATGCTATAAATCAGGGGTGGGGACTTTTTCCTCTCAAGGGCCATTCAATTTTTTCACATCCCTCCGAGCGGGCCGTAGAATTATTGCTCGCTAAAATACTAAATCCAGCCATTCATTGGCCTTTCTTTCATGCTGTGCAAAGATAAAACAACCTTTAATCCAGTAGTATTTTAATCTCGAAGGCAGATCGCGTATTCACGTGTGGCAACTTAGGTTGTGGCACTGACCACCAAATCCAGAAAGGTATGGACCACAGATGGTGCAAAGCTGTAGTTTAGTATTTCGCATATTCATGTGACAATCTATTGAATATAAAAAAAGTAGAAAAAAAGGTAGGGGGAACACTATGTGACTCCGCTCGGGCATGCTCCCCTTGGGAAGATTTTGTTTTTAATGTTGAAGTTAAAAGCATCTATCTGGTGCTCATAGTTCTTGAGAGCTATAGGAGATATGGATCATCTCTCAAACCCTATGAACAGACTGTAAGCAGCTTTTATTTTTTCTTATGGCATATTTATGCCACAATCGGTTTCAAACGTTATAAGTTTCGTGGATTTATAGGTAACATAATAACTTTTTTCCTAGGTCATTATTTCAGTATTTTTACTCACTGTTTTTGCATTGTGTTCTCACCTTATTCTTACCTCTTTTTGAAAGATACGTTTACATATATAGAGTAGAGTTACGTATAAAACGCACAGTTACTCGATAACGAGTGCAGTCAGGCTATGATCATGTCACTGGTTGTAGAAAAGCTCTCTAGTCTCTATTCACTTCTATATAAGTCGTTTTACACAAATACTCCAGAATGAATGAGAAATAAATCACCACTAAGGTCAGTACGTTTCCCGCCTCATGACGATGGAGAGATATCAGATCGCCATCTGGGCTCTTACTACTTATAGAAACGGAGACACGCCTCTAACTGGACATGCTTGGTTATGCTACACGTCATCCGCACCCGCTATGGGTACTTGGCAATTAGGATGGATCTCGGAGATGTAACGGACGAGAAGTGGAGAGGTAATCTGGTGTGCTCTTCAGTCAGAGTAATGCAGATGGCCCTCGATAGATAGAACGAGCCTCATTCCAGGTGAACACTTCACACACTTGATTGCACGTATATGCCCTGAGGTTCTCTTTTCCCAGAGACCCTGAACCCATTTCGCTCATATAGGTTACGCCCTCTTTGCTTTAGTTTTTTTGTCTCAGTCTACCTGTTGTCGCCTGTCTCCACGAGCTTCTAGTACTCTAGTTTTTTTTTTGTTTCTGGTAGATCTGGGATAAGTATTTATCTCGAGGGCTACCAAATTCTCCGGGCGGTGCCGGTACGGGCCGAACGAGCGTGGTTCCACTCCACGTGGCTGCATAAAGATCGGTCAATCAGGCGTTGTGAGAGTCTCTGCTATGAGACGTCAGCGATTCTCCTGTGGTAATGTCGAGGATGCACCGATGTCCGCAGCTCCGGAACCCACTCTCCGCGTCGTGCCATCACACCCATAAACACCTTCGTCTAGGCTAGCACTAATAATAGAGAAACTCAGGATTAATAGTAACACTGCAAAGAATTTTATTGCCACCAGGAGCTATTCTAG